GGGGGGGGGGGGGGAGGGGGGGGGGGTGCCTAGTTGGTCATGTTCTTAGTACACTTGTTTCCAAAACACGCCATTTGGAGTTGACAAGTTCGATTCCCGCCACAGCAACTATAGCTTTCGATTTTTATGTTGTCTAGTGTGTCCATCTATCTTTCTACTTCTTTCTGTGAGGACCAATCAATACAGTGTCTGTTTTTGTTTCATATATATATATAATATTAGCTGGACGAGGCACCGCCCCCCGATCCGTATTATGGTAATCGCGTCCACTCATGGGTGATGGTGCTGAAGGGACTCCGTGATGTACAGGAGACTTTCTTTATTGAGCCGACAACCGGCGTGCCCCACCCCACGGACTGGGACCAGTATCTCGGAGTGGAGACCTTATGGAATCACAAGAATTATTACATCAACATGCAGCAGTACGAGATCAAGGGCGTTAGTGTGAGTACCCGCATGTATGGCGTTCATTGTTGAGTTTTTTAGGTACGCCGTTCAGTATAAGTCTGCGTATGTTCAAATTCCACTGTTTATCATATTATGTACGTGGTTCAGTGTAAGTCTTTGTATATGCGGGCTATAGTGTTAGTCTCTGCATGTACGTGGTTTAGTGTAAGTCTCTGCATGTACGTGGTTTAGTGTAAGTCTCTGCATGTACGTGGTTTAGTGTAAGTCTCTGCATGTACGTGGTTTAGTGTAAGTCTCTGCATGTACGTTGTTTAGTGTAAATCTCTGCATGTACGTGGTTTAGTGTAAGTCTTTGTATATGCAGGGTATAATGTAAGTCTCTGCATGTACGTGGTTTAGTGTAAGTCTCTGCATGTACATGGTTTAGTGTAAGTCTCTGTATGTACGTGGTTCAATAAACGTCTATGTAAGTCTGTGTGTGTATGTGGTTCAGTGTACGTCGCTATATATACGTGATTCAGTGTACGTCGCTATATATACGTGGTTCAGTGTACTTCGCTATATATACGTGGTTTAGTGTACGTCGCTATATATACGTGGTTCAGTGTACGTCGCTATATATACGTGGTTCAGTGTACGTCGCTATATATACGTGGTTCAGTGTAAGTTACTTTATGTCTGTTGCTAAGTCTAAGACAATGTACATGGTTCAGTATAAATCTCTGTATGTTTTGTGGTTCAGTGTAGGTCTCTGTAAGTAAGTTATTCAGTGTTTGATTATCATCCGTGAGAATTAAATCCTACAGAATGCAAATCTGGATGGGTAAAGATCCCTTTTCACGCGTTCAGGCGCTTTGGGTGTATGGAAAAAGCACCCCATATTGTTACAGACCAGATGGTACTAGGTAGGTTAAGTGGTCAGCATTACGCCAGCCATCTTTACTTTCCCAAGCAATACACCCTAATACCCATTTTTTGAGGTTGTGTCGACCTGCGACGCCCCATACCATAATGAAAATCAACGTAACCAGCAGTGAGTGGATAGGTAAAACTTAAAAAACAAATTGGACCATAACTGTAAACGACCTAAAGTATGGAAGCGATTTTGCGTATAATCCGTCAATACAACGCACTGTGAAAAAACAGAGAACAACGTGTGTTGTCTTAGGAGAGTATCGTGATTATTAGGGCTGTACCGAATAGTGATTTTTGGCTATTCGGCCGAATTCGAATAGCTGGACCAACTATTCGGCTGAATACGAATACGAATACAAATAGTGAATCATCATCATCATCAGGTGCTTTGCCGACTGGTATGGGCGACCATGCCTCGCCACAATCTGCGATCTCATGCCGCATGTATTAGTTCGTGTGCTGACACACCTCCATGCCATGCAACAAGACTGTCAAGAATCTTCTCTTCTTCTATCCATCCTTCCAGTGGTCACCACATGTTCCATTTTCCCTGATCTTATAACATGGCCAAAAAATGATGACTGTCTCCTTCTGATGTCTGTGAGTAGTTGTGTTCGGGCTCCCGCCTCTATCAAAACTTCTTGGTTGCTTTGTGTGTGTGTGGCTGTCCAGGGTATTTTAAGCATTGCTATGTAATACCACATCTCTGAGCACCGCTCGCCTCGGTTCGATGCTCGTTCACTAGTCTTCTTGAAAAGAGTACTGCCCGACCCAGTTCATTGCTGGTTTACCAGCCTTCTTGTAGTGAGCACTGCCCGACCCAGTTCAGCGCTGGTTTACCAGCCTTCTTGTAGTAAGCACCGCTCGCCTCAGGTCGATGCTCGTTCACTAGTCTTCTTGAAAAGAGCACTGCCCGACCCAGTTCATTGCTGGTTTACCAGCCTTCTTGTAGTGAGCACCGCTCGCCTCGGTTCAATGTTCGTTCACTAGTCTTCTTGTAGTGAGCACTGCCCGACCCAGTTCATTGCTGGTTTACCAGCCTTCTTGTAGTGAGCACCGCTCGCCTCGGTTCAATGTTCGTTCACTAGTCTTCTTGTAGTGAGCACTGCCCGACCCAGTTCATTGCTGGTTTACCAGCCTTCTTGTAGTAAGCACCGCTCGCCCTAGGTCGATGTTCGTTCACCAGTCTTCTTGAAGTTAGCACCGCTCGCCCCAGTTTGATGTTCGTTCACCAGTCTTCATGTAGTGAGCACTGCTCGCTTCATTGTATTGCTGGTTCACCAGTCTTCATGTAATAAACACTGCCGGCCCCAGTTCGATGTAGGTTCACCAGTCTTCTTGTAGTGAACACTGCCCGACCGAGTCCATTGCTGGTTCACCAGTCTTCTTGTAGTAAGCACTGCTCGTCCAAGTTTATTGGCGGTTCACAAGTCTTCTTGTTGTGAGCACTGCTTGCCCCAGGTCACTGCATGTACACCAGTCTTCTTGCGATGAGCACTGAACGCCCCAGTTCGATGTTGGTTCACCAGTCTTCTTGTAGTGAGCACTGCACAGCCCAGTTCATTGCTGGTTTACTAGCCTTCTTGTAGTAAGCACCGCTCGCCTCGGTTCGATGTTCGTTCACTATCCAGGGTATTTTAAGCATTGTTCTGAAATACCATATCTCTGAGGCTTCAAGAAATTGTTTGGCCTGCCTACCGATTGTCCAGGACATACAGCCATATGTTAACACTGGATGTATGTAGCAAGCAAGAATACTTTTTCTAACCTTTAATGACAAAGATATATTGCATAAGATGTTCTTCATTTTATAAAATGCAGTTTTTGCCTGTCCTATTCTGTTTCTTATTTCAGTAATGCATCTTCCATCAGATGTTATCCATGTGCCTAGATACTTAAATTTCCGTACTTGTCTCAAAATAAAACCATTGACTTTTATTACACATTTAGGAGTAATTATTTTCTTTAATACCACCATTACTTCTGTCTTCCGACTATTCACACTGAGGCCCATTCTTCCACTTTCGTGTATAAAATATATCTAAAAAGAAAACATCCATAATGTCAAATAATGTCATGTTTTGCATTCTTCAGTCAGTCAGTCTGTGGTAACTAATACATAGGAGTGAAAGTATTTTTAGTTTTATAACAAGTAACTAAACTTTTAAATTATCACTGACAGCCTAATTAATCCATGAAAGCGGCATTAGCTTTTCACACACAAAAAATCGTTCCATGTCGTCAGCATTAAGGCAGCTTCTTGTCTCACTGAAGGTATTTCCAGCTGTACTAAACAGACTTTCACTTGGTACGCTCGTAGGTGGTGCACAGAGATAACGCTGGACAGTATGATCCAAGGTGGGAAATCTTGATATGTTTAATTTCTACCAGTCCAGGAACGGGTGTAAAGTAACCACTATTAGTATTCGGCCCGACCGCAACTATTCGGCCGAATACCGAATAGTTGTTGGGTCCACTATTCGGCCCCGAAGCGAATACGAGGCTAATATTCGGTACAGCCCTAGTGATTATACACATTAGGTTAGTTGCGTATCCTTTACAGGACGTTGCAGAACCAAATTTACGTCAGTATTTTGCCATTGCTTTTTGGACGGTCGGCTTTCTTGATACCACTGTCGAAACCAACGCAAGGCCCATGGCCCTCAGCTGGGATCGAACCCGGCAGCCCGGCATTACTAAGCGTTCGCATCAACTTAGCCACAGAGCCGACTGATTATACACATATCAATTTAAATCAATGAATAAACTTTAAAAGGAACAGGATTGGCTTTTTCAATTACAGTATACCCTGTACATTTATTCAAGTCTTAATAATTACTTCCAAATATGGTCCATAATTGAGTCCAGAAATGTTTTGCCGGTGTCAGAAAATGACATTTGCCAATATCACACCATCATCGTCATCATCATCAGCATCATCATCATCATCATCATCATCATCATCATCATCATCATCATCATCATCATCATCATCTTCATCATCATCATTATCATCATGTTGTACTATTATTTCGTCACATAGTTCTTGCGGTCTATTCCTCAAATCCGCTCTATCCTGTGTATGTTGATATCGGGAATCCAGACCAGCAACTTTGGACTCTCTCATCAACCTTGATCGTACCATTTTCCCCCTGGACTTCATCGCTTCCTCAGTCCACTTATTTCCCATGTCAATGCTTGTCTGGCTATTCTCTACTCGTTTCTCCTCATGATATGCCCTTGTTCATCGGCATCTTTCTTGTCTTATAACTGACAGTATAAGAGATTGTCCATGTCTGTGTGGGTCCCGGGGACCCATTTTTTGGGTCAAAACAAGAATAGACCCACGGCAACCCCCAACCAGCATGACGTAGGAGTCGACTAATTACGGGCTTTATTTAAAGTCAGATTACATCTACCCGAGCTGTAAGGAACAACCAACTGCACACAAATAAGCCAGCAAACGAGACGCACACGAAAAACTCAGGCCCTGGCACAAAGCCAAAGACCAAATGGAAGAACAACCAGGACTTTCCACCAGAGCTTACAACCAGTGAACAAAGAATAACAGAGGTTGTCCAGACATTTATCAGACTTCTTGGCCATTCTTGCATGCACTCCATTTCCACTAATGTTACATCGAAAGCTCAGTAATTCTATAGTACTCCTGCCTACAGGATCTCAAGTTCGACATTGGAAACAGTTGTGACTGGGAGTACATCTTCCCAGGGCAGGACTTGCATGTTCAGATAAGTCCTGAAGAGGTTACGGAAAAGAAGCTGCAACTGAATCTGACGGTTTGTGCTAGTTTTTGTTTCACCTTGTGTGGACATGTGTGTTTGTTCTTCTGTAAAGAAACAACTAGAATAAAACTCTAGATGCATGCATGTTTTTATAAAATCTTAGTATGCATGACAAATTATGGTGGTAGAGGGAAGAGCAAGTATGCAGAACATACGCATGGGTATGCCATATGTGCAGTGACATCAATTGTGATAACAAAATATAAAATAACATCTTAGTAGGGAGTCGGCAGTCCGAAACCCAAGTTCAAGGTGTCTCCTTCGTGCCAAAGAACTGCTTGGCTGTTGGGTGAAGAGTCGTTAACGATGGCAGGCAGGTCGTTGTAGGGGCGACGCCTGCTGGTGGATGTAATGTCCTAAGTCCCTTCCCCAGCTAATAAGGAGGGTACTGCTGGGGTGACCGTTTATTAACCCTCATATAATGCTTCCGGTCAAAATGGACGCTAGGCACGGCAACCTTTTTTTTTTATAAAGCCGTGGCATATGTTTTTTTCTCTCTGCCAGACGGTGGCCGTTGCATTTTTGCTCCATTTGTAGACTGGAAGGATGAAGTTTCGTCGCCCAGCTTCTGAGTTGAGTGCATGGCGTGACACTGTGAGCTGAGTTTGTTTTTCGTTGGCACAGGAGCGGAGCAACTGTGGGGTGACCCGTTTGCTATGAAGCTTAAACTAGGATTACCAGATTACCAGATTACCAGATAGTGATAACCCTGCACTACCACCACCACCACCACCAACACACCACACAATAACAACAACTGCTACTACTACTACAACGACTGCTACTACTACCACCACCACTACTACTTCAAATACTACTACTACTACCGCTGTGTGCAAATATTTCTGGATTGTGTCCGGGACTAATTGTCTGTTCACCAGTTTTTGCAAATGGGACAATGAGGAACATTTCATTTGATTTTCACTGGCACAGGAACGAAGCGAGTATAGGAAAACCCAAATACAGGGAAGTTGAAACCTCGATAAGGTTGACTACTACTACTACTACTACTACTACTACTTCCACTACTACTACTACTACTACTACTACTACTACTACTACTACTACTACTACTACTACTACTACTACTACTACTACTACTACTACTACTACTACTACTACTACTACTACTACTACTACTACTACTACTACTACTACTACTACTACTACTACTACTACTACTACTACTACTACTACTGCTGCTGCTGCTGCTACTACTGCTGCTACTACTACTACTACTACTACTACTACTACTACTACTACTACTACTACTACTACTACTACTACTACTACTACTACTACTACTACTACTGCTGCTGCTGCTGCTGCTGCTGCTACTGCTGCTACTACTACTACTACTGCTGCTGCTGCTGCTACTGCTGTGTTGTTAATACAGCAGCTACTACTGATGTTACAACTACAACTATACCTCCTCCTATTATTGCTACTACTTCTACTTTTGCTGCTTCAGCTGCTTCAACTTTGATTTTAAAATACTACTACACCAGCAGCTGCTGCTGCGAAGTTACCGCTAATATTTCTACTAAATACTGTTACTAGAGTAATTTACTACTTAATTTAACAGTGAACGTAAAATTTCCCCAGTAAAACCAAAAAGAAAAAAAAAATATGCAGGTTGGTTCTACAGTGTATTGTATAGGGTTCCAACTAGCTAACAACTTAACATTATTACTTCCTTGTGTGAGTTCCGGAGCCCCATTGTGTGTGAAATTAGAATAGACCCACCACCACCCTAATAGGCATCTCGTAGGAGTGGACTAATAGGTTGGTCATCTTCCGAGAGGCAAAGCACCAAGAATCTGCATATAATCTGCGGGCCTTGCGCCTTGCGTTGGTTTTGACAGAGGTATCGAGAAGCCGACCGTCCAGTAAGCAATGGCAAACTACTGGACATTAACTTGCATAGAAAAACCACAAACAGCCAACGAGATATCCATTCGATATTTATTTCTTGCTGAAATGAAGTCTTTGCGTCACTCCAACACCCTATCTAATCTTGAATGTTATTTTAACATTCCCCAACTATGTAAACAAATTTACTACCTGGATGTTTACGGGCCACCAAATTGTCTTGTCTTTTGAAGAACGAAAATTATTCAGAATAATTTATGCTCCCAGGTCGACCCAGCGTGGGTACCGTGCTCAGTCCCGGGAAGAAAAAACGGCCGGCGTGATGCTGACCACATCCCCCATCTTGTGCCGATTGGGTCTATTAAATTTAGGTCTAGTCTTATATGCCCTATGCGTCTAAATCGTGAAAAAAGGTCCTTTACTTTAGTATTACTACTGCTGCTGTTGGTTTTGCGTCTGGTACTGATACTGTTGTTGCTGCTTCTGTTGCTGCTACTACTACTACTCCTGCTGCTGCTTTTGTTGTTGATGCTACTGCTATCACAACTGATACACTATTGAGTATTACTAACAATAAATACCTTCGGTTGTAAATCTGCTATTCTGTGTGTATCTTTGCTAGTCGTTTATAATGTAAAAAAGAAGAAAACATATGAGCACTGGTCTACTGATATTACTTTGGGCAGGGAGACCTCTGCACGGAGGAGCTGAACTTGGACCTCCCTATGTCTTGGAGCCTGCCGCTGTTTGTGTCCAGGGAGGGTAGGTTGAACACTACTGGACTACTATTTTACATCTGTGTTTTAAATGTAAACGATTTCTTTGCTTCAGAAAGAAGTGGAATGTTACTTAACCTGTTACATGATGATATGGCAGCCCGGCGACTTCAAGAATTTAACCTTGGATGGCAATCCAGGGGGGGGGGGTGGGGGGGACCAAAATTAAGATACCCTATTCAACCTCTAAAAAAAAAAGAATTAAAATAAGGGCACCCAAGACCTCTACGCTAGTCTGTATTTTTTTTTGTTGCTCATATCCATGACTCAAGTCGGCTCTGGGGCTAAGTCGATGAGAACGTTTCGTAATGCCGGGATGCCGGGTTCGATCCCAGCTGCAGGCAATGCGGCTTGCGCTGGTTTCGACAGTGGTATCAAGAAAACCAAACGTCCAGAAAGCAATTGCAAACGACTGGACGTAAATTTGCCTAGAAAAACCACACAACAGCCAGGGGTTATTGGGGTTGGTTCTGTAACGTCCTGTAAAGGATACGCAACTAACCCTAGCTTGTAAGTAACGCTTCGTAATGCCGGGATGCCGGGTTCGATCCCAAGTGCGGGCCATTCGCCTTGCGTTGGTTCTGCAACGTCCTGTAAAGGATACGCAACTAACCTTAACAATGGCTAAAAGCTGCTCGCCACCTTGTAGCCCTAAAAAGAATACTTTCAGCGTTGATGAAATGACTAGACCCTACCACCTTCCAACCGAGTCGCCCACTGGCTGACCAATAAGCCACCCACGCATCGATGAGGTAAGAGACGTCACTGACATAGTTACTAAATCAGTAATTAAAAAAGTTCAAGCATAGGTCCAGATACAACATCTTGAACCATATGGTGCTACCCCTGTATTGTTTACAGACTCTACCCCTGTAGAATAATCCCTGTATTGTTTACAGACTCTACCCCTGTAGAATAATCCCTGTATTGTTTACAGACTCTACCCCTGTATTGTTAAACAGACTCTACCCCTGTATTGTTAAACAGACTCTACCCCTGTATTGTTAAACAGACTCTATCCCTGTATTGTTTACAGACTTTATCCCTGTATTGTTTACAAACTCAACTCCTGTGTTGCTTACATACTCTATTCCTGTATTGTTTACGGACTCTACCACTGTTTTGTTTACAGACTCTATCCCTGTATTGTTTATAGGCTCTACCCCTGTATTGTTAAACAGACTCTACCCCTGTATTGTCTACAGACTCTATCCCTGTATTGTTTATAGGCTCTACCCCTGTATTGTTAAACAGACTCTACCCCTGTATTGTCTACAGACTCTATCCCTGTATTGTTTATAGGCTCTACCCCTGTATTGTTAAACAGACTCTACCCCTGTATTGTCTACAGACTCTATCCCTGTATTGTTTACAGACTCTCTCCCTGTATTGTTTACAGATTCAACCCCTGTATTGTCTACAGACTCTATACCTGTATTGTTTACAGACTCTTGTCTCTGTATCGTTTATAGACGAACAACTCCAGTTGACCGGGTTATTAACATCAACAAGGCCATAGCGGAAAAGACTGATAGACATCGGAGCCAATCGCTCAGCAGAAATACACATGCCCAGTTTGTACTGACAACAACCGGGTCAAAGACGAATGTCGTTTTTCTAAGCAGCCGAAAGCACACATGTGTGTCATTGCTTCAGCTGGACAGACAATGTAGATCTCTTTCAAGTTATTTCAGTTAAGGGAAGCCGCCACGGTATAGCGGCTAGCGCTTGCCTCAGGCCCGAAGATTGTGGCTGCAAATCCGCATGAAAATGTAACCCCCCCCCCCCCCCCACAAAACAAAATTATCAGTCCTGGGAAGTGAAGGCGGCAGGCGTGTTGTTGACAACACCATCCAGCGAGCGCAGACTGGTCTATAAAACATACTATATGGCTAGTACAGTTAATGGCGAGGAAGGCAACCTTTAATATTTTAAATTACTTTAGCTCAGTGATTTTGTGTACTCTTTTTTGCCTTTGTGGTGTTTCATATTCATGCAATGTCATACCTGACCACCGACTACCAAAAAAAAAAAAAAAAAAAAATTTGCTATGGCAAGCTACAAAAAAGAAAACGCTCTTAAGGTGGACAGAAGAAACGTTTCAAGAACAACCCTAAGACCTCACTGAAAGACCTCTGTATTTATCCTAAACCCAAGGAAGTCTCTGCATGTGGCCGCTCCACCTGACGCTCCTCTCTTCATCGAGGAGCTGGCTCCCATGGAGCTGCTAGACCTGCAGCAGCAATTCGAAAAAGACAAGCCAGGACAGACGCTGAAGCAAATCACTAGAGAGATCCGGCCTCAATCCCTCGTCTACATAGCAGCACACAAACTTTCAGTGCTAGAATTGGACTTATGAATCATCAGCGCACTCACAAAACCTAATTCAGTCACCAGTGAATAAAAGGACTGGTTATCATCACCTGTGATAAACGAACAACAATAATATTTATGTAATGTACTGATAAAGGATATCTGGTCAGAATGCTAGCTTGTTTATATTTTTGATGTGAAGCTGACTGGTTTTACTTTAGTTTGATATCTATTCTAAGCAGGTCTGCGCCGTATCGCATATCACAGGTAAAGGTAAATTCGGGAGATAAGAACCAGCGTCATTGCACACGGTTATAAACCATAAGTGCTCTGCCACCAGTACGGGCAGCTGATAAGAAACTGCCCACCCGTGACGCCGTCCGCAAGCTACTCCGTAGCTACATCGACGTTCCTCTATTTACCCAAGATTGTCAACTCTGGTACCCATTACATAGAGGCTGGGTGAACCCAGGAAACCGTCTGGTTTCGAACACCGACCGTGGGCTGCAGCGAGCCCGCAGCCTCTCCAGTTGTTGGAGTGTGTGAGAGATCAACTTTCTTCAGTTGTGAAATGATTACATTTTTCCAGTCTGTTGGGACCACTTCATTTATCCATATTTTGTTGAATATTCCATGCAGTGCTTTTGCTGTAAACAGTGTGTCTTCCTTTAAAATGTCAGCACTAATTTGGTCTTCACCTGATGCCTTCCCATTCTTCATACTGCTTATTGCCGTTTCTATTTCTTTAACGCTGATTGGCCCAATATCCATTTCTAGGAGTTAGCCACAGTTTTCTAGTTTCCACTGGAATATCTGATGCTGACCTATTTAGCAGCTCGGTAAAATATTCTCGCCATCTGTCAACCTTTCTTTTTTCCGTTGTTATTATTTCCAATGTTGTGTCTCTCAGGTTTCCTTCATTAAAGCTAAAATGTTTCCGACTAAGATCCTTTGTTATTTTATGTAATAATCTAATATCCACTGTCATTGCGGTTGTTGCTTTTCTTTGACATTTCTTTACTTCTTTATGCTTGGTGCTATAAGCATTCGGTGCTGCCGTCTTTTCCAGTGTGGCTGTCTTTTCCAGTGTTCTCTTTGTAACTTATTTGCTCTTTTCGCATTTTTCTTTCTATCTTCTGTCTAAACAATGGCAGAGTACTGAACGTTAAACTGCCTAGCCAAATCATAAACGGTTAAACAATGCTGGGGTTAGTTCTACAACGTCCGGTAAAGAGAAAAGTAACTTTTTAGGATAATATACAAGTTGTAGACGAAAATGATTGTATTGTATACTCTCTTGAACTTTGCATCAAAACAGACTACGCACGCCTTTACCCCAACGGCAAAAGAACGAGAAGGTATAAATACACAATAGTGGACGACTACTGTCGTTACCTTAATCCTGATGGATTGGTGCGGAAAATTCGGCGTCACAATGATTTACGGTGTAAGTAAAGACTGCTATATTAGTGTTTATTTATAGAAATTGTTCTCTTTTCTGTCCACGATATTTTTACATTCTTCTAAAAACAAAGGAAACTGTTTCCTTATTGCTATTAGTCCGTCCACAGTGTCATTATTTATTGTTCGGCTTAAACAGTGACACAGAAGAGCAGGCCAATCCACTGACTTCTCTAGAAAGATATACCGTAAAAAAAAATAAACGCATATTTACTGAAAGGAACAAACATACTCACAATTTTGACATTCTGCATCTTTGTAATGTAGTAAGTTAAATTACTCAAATTTCACACAAAAATACCTTAGGGCTCCGCCAATCCATTGACACTGTTTCTTTTTGCATCTGGGTCACGATAGTTTTTCAGCATAGACCTTTTCCGTTGGTATGGTGTGTGGCAAAGTAATGAATACTAATAAAAACGCTGATAACTATGCGTTTCTTTTTTTAAACAGTATAAAAAATGGGCAGGAGGTCGGCGTCTGTGGCTTAGGAGTTGCGAACGCGCTTCGTAATGCTAGGGTGCTGGGTTCAAACCCAGCTGCGGCCTTGCGTGGGATTCGACAGTAGTATCGAGAAGTCGACCGCCCAGAAAGCAATGGCAAACTACTAGACGTAAATTTGCCTAGAAAAACCACAACAACCTAAAACAAAAAATAATGGGCTGGCTCTGCAATCTTATGTAAAGGACATGCAACTAACTCTTGTTAACTATTTGTGGGAAGCCGCCGTGGCCTAGCGGCTAGGCGCTCGCCTGCGGATCGGGAGGTCGTAGGTTCGGGTCCTGATAGGAGTCACAGTTGTTTCAGAAATGACCTTGGCTCCCTGGTCGACCCAACCTTGAGTGGGTACCAGGTACAGTCATGGGAAGTAAAGGCGGCCGCCGTGATGCTGACCAAATCATCCACCAAGTGCCGCTTGGTCTATAAAATATAGGTCTAGTCATTTATACCCAATACACCCGAAGGCACGGAAGAGGGTCCTTATACAGGCTGTGAGATTGATGTATATGTATATGTTTATGTATATGTATATGTTTATGTATATGTTTATGTATATGTATATGTATATATTTATGTATATGTATATGTGTATGTATATGTATATGTATGGGAATTTGTTTGTTAGTGAAAGAGATGAATAGACCAGAACGAGTGTAACAATGATTTTATTAAATGGACCAAACTGACGTCATGAGATAAATGTATACAAAACGCAGGTGATGAGCTCGCATACACCAGAGAGATTTACAAGGACAGAGCCGACATGCTAGAGATGAGGTTTCTCCACATCAGCACGGGAAAAGTCATCGAGAACTTTGCCGTGGGTAGACCAGATTTTATCCGAGGTCAGCAGTTTTATGCTTTTATTATTTTAACACAATTGTTATTTCCTTCCTTTCTTCCAAGAGTTAGCTGTGCATCCTTTTCAGGACGTCCAGAACCCAGCTCCAGTATTTTGCTTGCCTGTAATGTTCTTGTTGTTGGAAACAATGAATGTGGGTCCAAATCACCAATTTTGTGAGAGGTCAACGAAACTGACTCAGATGGGACAACGATTCACCTGAACCTAACTCCCACCACTTTCTGACAGTGTCAATAATTACATTTTCTTATCGTTCTTTTTTTCTAAATTACCATACTTCCATTTTCTAGAACGTTTGTCTGAACCGAAAAGAAAGGTCAAAGCAAATATCAGCCTACGCTTGTTGAGATGAACCTTGGCTTACGAAGTACCTGCTTCGCCACGATTCAACTCTATATGATTACTGCAACATGTCTACTTGCACTGCTCTAATGTCTAGGACTGTTAACACAAACGCCGCTCAGCTTCCTTGTACATGCTGTCAGTTTATTCTGTTGCATTTATTCAACATGCTCCAACGATTATTCATACTTCCATCGCTTGCGACATTTTCAAACACTGGTCATTAACACGACATAAGAACTACATCTTCTATTAACACAACCGTCTTCTACGACTTCTGGTAACCATCTGACCACGAGTCTAGCTCGGGCCTGCCCATGTCTACTTAACTGGCCCTAAGACTCTCGTGCGGTTGTTTGTCGCACGGATCTTCCACTTGGCTTGCTAGAACGTGGAGACCATGCAAAACAGGGTCATCACAGTCGTTTTTTTTTTTCTAAAGGAATTAGTTCATATTAACAAGATGCTGTTACGACAATCGAAGTATTGATCAGTTTGAAATCTACTGCTGAAAGCATCTGATCATTACCGCGTCACTGTACTATGTTCTTGTTTTCGTCATCTCATCATCTTCATAAATCAGATCAGTCAACGTGAAGACCGGCTTATCTAGTTTATCTATCATCTCCTGCTACTAGACCCCCCCCCCTCCCCAAATACCTCCCCAACCAACCAGCTCTGTACCAATGCTAACCTCTTCATTCCAACAAGTCTCTTGGATATGGTTCTTTCGTAGACGTCATCTTCTTTTTCTTTCGTTTGACTGATATGAGGATCATCAATTTTTGTCTCGTATAAATTTCGCCGTCATTTTTAGATCATTTAGTGCTCCGTATAGTTTAATTTCCACTATTCTTTTTCGACCAAAAGGAATGTCTTCATTTGCCATATTCAGTGCAGTCTTGCAGTACACGTTCTGCTGTCTGGGGCGACTCTCCCCGTCTTCACATGACGCAAATCTTATATTCATACACATGTGGGTGCTATTCGTTTGTGCCCTGTTGTAAGGCGCAGGACAGTGAATTGTTCTGATCTGTCCATAAAAAAGTGGCTGTCTTAGGCTAGGGCTAGTAGTTTTCTGATTGATTTAATTATCCATTTATTTTTGTATTATGTAACGTTGTCTTTACCCTGCATTACTCCTTCGAATTGAATGGTACATGACTGAAGCAAGTTGAATAATTTAAATATCTAGGAAGTATATTCTCGGAGGACTGGAGAATGGATCGGGAAGACAAAGAAAAAGACAACGAGCCAATGCACTTATACACCAGCAGATACCGTTATCAAGACATTCAAACATAAGCGCCAAGAAAACAGATTATAAACAGCATATTCATACCAACCTGTGCTACCAGTGCCAGACTTAGACATAATCAAAGGCTGATTGATTGGCACCTTCCGTCTTTCCAGACGATAGTGTTATATTGCGCTATGAGGAGGTATGGGACTCACAGCCCATGGCGATGGCGAGTGTGATTAGAAAGACCCGCCCACAATGATAGCATAGGATTTCAAGACCATTGTTAACAACATTTGTGTTTCATCCGTTTCTTTTCAGACGCTCAGCTCTCATCCTTTCTGCAATCATATCTTCCTTTACTCTCATTCCCTTCCTGGTGTGCCCTTTCTACACAACACGGTCCATGAGGTTTTGTTCCCATGTAAAGTCAAGGTCCCTTTTCCACGCCTTTAGGCATATAGGGCATATAAGGCTAGACCTAAATTTGTATAGACCAATCAGTACAAGATGGGTGATGTGGTCAGCATCACGCCGGCCGCCTTTGCTTCTCGGGACTGCACCCGGTACCCACTCAAGGCTGGGTCGACCTGGGAGTCAAGGTAATTTTATTTTGTCCCAATAAGTCCACCTCATAACCTGTATCATTCATATCCCGCTTGCACACATCTTTATACCATAGTAGAGGTCGGCCTCTATATCTTCTACCTGCCTTTAATTCACCATAAAGAATGTTTTTAGGGACTCTGTCATCCTCCATTCTCCGGGTGTGGCCCAGCCACCAGAGCCTTCGTTGACTGAGCATGGAAAAGACTGTTGTAGTACCTGCTCTTTCCAGTACCTCAGTGTTTGTGATTTTGTCCTGCCACTTAATGCCAAGTAGTCTTCTTAGGCATCGCATGTGAAAGCTATCAAATGCTAACCTACGTAAAAATATTACCTGTGAAATTAGATGCCTGAGAAAAGCCAACAATTTACCCATCCGAGACAAAGTTATAAATGATATTATAAGACAGATTGTAGGAAAAACACCATGCAACAAATTCATTGAGAAACAGAAGATCAAATGGTTTGGTCATTTAGTAAGAATGCAACCAGAACAACTACCACACAGGCACTACACATGAAAAGATTTGCAGTGAAAGCAAGAGGCCGCACTATGGACACATGGATTGATGAGAATAAAGAGCTTCTACATCGATACAGAATGACAGTAGCTAATGCTGTCCATCAAGCAATGGATCGCAAACTGCTCCTCCCTACAACGCTTAAAGACAGAAATGGAAATTGATGATAATGATGATGATGACTCTTTCCAGTGAAATAAATCTAAGACCTCCATGTCTAGTACTGCGAGCAAGCCAAGGCAGACCTTTGTCAATACACGAGTATTTTGTCAATAGTTTTCTGGGCGGATACGCTAATCACCCTTACCATTTACGTTAACGCAACCGATAGGAGGCTCGCTTTCAAATCTAGCTGCGACTCGCTGCAGCCACGGTCGTTGTTTGAAACCGGGCGGTTCCCGGGGCTCACCCAGCCTCTAGGAAATAGGTACCAGAGTGACCATCTAGGGTAAATGGAGGAACGTCGCTGTAGCTACAGAGTTACGTAAGAACGGCGACACAGGCGGACAGTTTCTTGTCAGCTGTCCGTACTGGTGGCAGAGCACTTATAACCGTGTGCAATAACGCTGGTTGACATTTCCCGACTTTACCATTTACCATTTGCCAAGGCAGACCATTGTCAGTTACGAGTATTTTGTCAACAGTTTTCGGGGCACATGCAGTGAGCACCCTTACCAATTGTCTCGGATTCTCCCTTCCTCCCCCACCGCAATACAGTGGAGTGGGTGCGGATGGTTGCTCATGGGGCTTACTTTATGTGATCAAGATGATTGACATGGTACAGGTCGGTTCTACCTAGGACAGTTTTTGTTGTCATGGAAAATATTTCACTGTAATTTGTATTACCCACAGTCCATATTTTAACATCATTCTGTGTTATATATCTTCAGTATATCCCGATGGGACTAATCCACCTCAGTATGCATTACAGAGCATCTAGATTTGTATTGAGCCTGTCTATGAATTTTTGTGTTATAGAACAGCAGTATATGTTGATAGAACCGATCTGTCACCTTTTGTGTTATATAACATCAATATATGTTGATAGAACCGATCTGTCACCTTTTGTGTTATATAACATCAATATATGTTGATAGAACCGATCTGTCACCTTTTGTGTTATATAACATCAATATTTGTTGATAGAACCGATCTGTAGCCTTTTGTGTTATATAACATCAATATATGTTGATAGAATCGATATGTCACCTTTTGTGTTATATAACATCAATATATGTTGATAGAACCGATCTGTCACCTTTTGTGTTATATAACATCAATATATGTTGATAGAACCGATATGTCACCTTTTGTGTTATATAACATCAATATATGTTGATAGAACCGATCTGTCACCTTTTGTGTTATATAACATCAATATATGTTGATAGAACCGATCTGTCACCTTTTGTGTTATATAACATCAATATATGTTGATAGAACCGATCTGTCACCTTTTGTGTTATATAACATCAATATATGTTGATAGAACCGATCTGTCACCTTTTGTGTTATATAACATCAATATATGTTGATAGAACCGATCTGTCACCTTTTGTGTTATATAACATCAATATATGTTGATAGAACCGATCTGTCACCTTTTGTGTTATATAACATCAATATATGTTGAAATAATTGGCTACAACTTGTTTTTTTACAGAACACCAATATCTGGCTTATGCCCCTGGACCCGAGAAATGGAGAATTATTTTGTACGAGCCTAATAAAAGAGTTGATGGACAAATAAAAAGAGAAGAAGACTGTAACAGCATAAAACGGCACTATCAAGGCCGCGAAGACAGAAAGTACTACACCGAGATTCAGTTTGGACAGCGAGGAAAAGTGCTGGAAAACCCACAACTCGTTACACCAAGTTCTAGACCAATAGAGGTACAGTTTTTAGATAGAACCTTTCATCTGTCAGTCCCAAGCAACTTCTGCTGTGTGAGATACGAGTAGCTATATCCTTTAACCCCCCCCCCCTCCCCCAATAGCATACGGTGCTCTCTTAATATTAAACTTTAGTCAGAGCATACTACAAAATTTATCTAATGATAATTACCACAGTATATGTTGCCGCTTTGAAAAAAATACCTTACAGATTTTTCAACTTGGCTATTTCTCCATTTTGGCATTTAATGTGAAACTTCCTGGTACTGAAAGAGTTAAAATAAATTTTGTTAATGCTTATGGGTCTTTGATACACGGATTTTACATTTATTAGTTAGTTAGTTAGTTAGTTAGTTAGTTAGCTGCGTATCCTTTACAGAACGTTCCAGAACCAACCCCAGCATTTACTGGCTGTTGTGGCTTCTCTAGGCAAATTTTACGCTCAATAGTTTGCCATTGCTTCTAAACGATCAGCTCTTGGTACCACTGTCGAAACCAGCGCAAGACAAATCATCCGCAACAGGGATCGAACCCTGCACCCCGGCATTACGAAGCGAGTTCGCAACGCCTAAGCCACAGTCGCCGACTTTACATGTATATGGTATTTTAATTCTTAAATTTTATTCACTGGTTTACAGTGGCAAAAATATATTCGTTTTAAATGCAGATGATACTTTGATTCATTTAATTTAAACGTGTATGGTACTTCGATGAATTCACTTGAAGTACAAATAGTACGTGACGCATTCAGATCTAATATGGATATCACTTTGAAGCATTCATTTTTAATCTATATGTGTTATATATTTATTTTAACTATAGGGAATAGTTTGCTATGTTAACTGTTAACTCTAGACAGTATTTTGGAACATTCCGTTTAAATATTTCTGGGTCCCCATGTTGGTTCCTGATTCCGTTGTTAGGGGAGGGGGGGGGGGGGGGGGGGGGTGGGGTATTCGACTTACTGCCTCCCCCCAGAAAGCATGTCGCCTAACTGGAGGCTTCCTTCGAAGTCAGAGTGCATCAGCCTGCGAGGCAATGAACCAGCAGTGTGCATACAAATAAACCAGATCTCTAAAACGGATGTGCAGGCAACATTCAGGTTCTGGAACAGAGCTAAAGTCCAGAGGTGGACGAACAACCACAAGTTCCCCCCCCCCCCCAGAGTTTACAGCCGGTGAACGCGAAGAAGAAGAATACACCTGGAAATGTACGAAAAAGCAGGAGTTATATCAAGGTATTCGATGAGGACATCTTACCTCTAGCTGACAGATGATATTTATTTGATAGGAAAGTCAGACCCCCCCCCCCCCCCCCAAATTTTTTTTTTTGGGGGGGGGGGGGGGTTGATGCTGTTTTATGTACCAACAAATTAGTAAACAGAGACAGGATAATTTACAACTCTATGAGCATTCAAAAAAGTAGGTTCTTTCCCGATTACCTGGGAACGTCTGCGGAATTAGCTCATGGAATCTAGGAACTATTTATAGGACCGACTGGGAAACAGAAATAAAAGGAAATACAAATGCAATGAGAAGAAAGTTAGAACCTGACGATTTGAAAAGGTTAGTAAAGTAAAGGACCCTTTTCCACGCCTTGAGGCGTATAGGGCCAGAAAATAAGTGAGTGAATGCGTTTTACAGTTCCAGGATCCTCGAGCACTCGGGTTCTATTCCCAGGACGGGTAATGTTTTTTTTTTTTAAAAATCCTAATGGTTTTGGGACTGTGGTACAAAAGAAACACAGGGCAAGAGGTATGGACAAATACATTGCGACGAAGATGAATAGGTGAAAAATATTCACGGTCAAGTCTCTACTGTCTTCCCGATACTCACATCTGCAGTCTCTCCAGATATGGACAATAAACCCTAGGGAACTATTTACAGTATCCCTGCTAAGGAAGACTTACACCCGATCGCGTAGATACACCCAAGTGATGTGCAGTGACAATCCTCTGACGATTCTTTCTCTAAAAGAAACCGCTACCCGAGGATTGAAGGTAAATGCACCACTTGGAGAAAAAATTCAGACCTCCCGTCTGCTTCCCCAGTCACTCATTGAAGTATCTCTAACATCGTGTTAATCAGCCTCCGAAACTTCGAAATCACAACTCCACGTTGGTCAACAAGCACAAAGTTCCCCAGCACCTTCTGTGCTCTAAGGACAACGTCAACCAGAAAACTACATAACCGCAGCCGTACCGACCCCACACACATAGCCGGCACAAGTCCATTCTAGAAAATCACTTTAACAGAGAAATTAAGCTTAACTAATGATCCCCCATTCAAACTCCACAGAATAAAAACACATTACTAAAACTGTATCATGACACATTTAAGCAATTCGTGCACACGTTCATACACTTAGACGACCTGAAAGTGACTGACTCAAACTACTAGGGGTTTTTCCTATCCGCTGTAGATTCCGCGTGGATCTCACTTTCTCGCTAATTCACGGGGTTCAAAACCCACCCGTCTGTCGACCCGCACGGACACCAAAATATCTGTGATGTCACAAGTTCATCATAAACTTCAAGCGACTCATGTTTCCCCAGTGGCTGATGCTCCACTATCTCCCAGAGTGCCCATATGTTTATATTCCTAACTCGTCAACACAACATGAAAACTGTGTGTGCCTATGCTTCACAAAGCCCTGACTTTATAAACTCTTTATACACCAGAGTAAATTCTGAAGAGCTTCGAGATGGCTCTGGATGCAACGGAACGTCGTGGGGGATGGACCTCGGTAGTCTGGTCCGGACCTCTAGTGGAAAAGAACGTCTTATCCCTTAAATGTGTCTTAAATGTCTGCCAGTGTCCCTCTGTGAACTGCAAAAGTCTAACATGTGTCCGATGAACCAACCGTAAGCGTGTCACTTGGTCGTTAAGGTAGCCGGCTGATCTAATAGGCTACCGCAGCGACAATACATATATCTAACTTCGAATCTCACAGTACCCGTTGCATAGTCACCATTTTCTTCTTGTCCCAGTCTGAGAACATCCGGTAAAGTGCAGGACGAGAAGATCGAGGCCTGGGAGTCATAACCCAGGTTGGCCAACCCTCTGAAGTTGTCTAGGAGGTAATGGGCTGAAACAATTATAGACCAGGGATCTTCCATCTATGAACGGTGCACTCCTGCTGTACATGCTTCCTTGTATAGTTCTTCTTATTGCATGCAACACTGACTATGAATTAGAAAGTACTGAAGTAACTTACAACTGTCTCCTACTGAAATAAAAAAGAACTATCCATTTTTATGGTGTCAAGTGTACCGTTATTTCTTATAACACCAAGCAATTTACCATACGTTACCTGGTTGCTCCATATCTACCATTTATTTTTCTAAGTTATATCTAAATGTTCTATTACATTAACATATTTTATCCCTAAATTAATGTAACTCCTTCAGTCTTTTAGCTTTTACTTTTTACGTTATTAAATTACTCACGCATTCTTAATTTAAAGCAAGTAGTATTTGAAATAGAAACAGCATAATGTGTAACTACTAGGGACTAAAACAACCACTGCTTCTTCTACTTTCACTTTTAAAGAGTCGATTGACACGTTTTGTTGTAGTTTACAGCTAGGCTCTGATATCTGCGTCTCTCAGCCCAAGACATCCGTTTTCAGAAAAGTTTCAGTCTAATTTTAGGAAATGCTTGTTTAGGTTAATAGTTGTCTTATCCCGGAACCCACACGGGGGAATAAAAGAATAAATCTCTGTTTCTTGTCTTTCCTCTTCTTCTTAGTGGGACGATGGAACTCTGTGTATTTTTTTTCTCTCATGCCATCTTTTTTTTTTAAAAACCGATTCAGACAATCATTGAATGTTTTCACCGAAATCGGCAAGTTCCGGCAAACAGTGACATCGCCAAGATCACGTACACGGTGTGGCTTGACGAGATAGACATCGAGTACCACGTGGAGGATCACAGAATCGTGTGTAGTACCCGACACTTCACCAAACCTGCCCTGTGGTGGGACGAGACTCAAATTTTAACTTGGTCCCCTGAGCTTCATTGGTGCTTTGAGGTACCAGTATAATACGGTTGTTGCACTCTGTTACCCTCTACCCCCCCCCCCCACCCAACACACCTCCACCCCTTTCTTCATCTGTCTGTCTGTCTGTCTGTCTGTCTGTCTGTCTGTCTGTCTGTCTGTCTGTCTGTCTGTCTGTCTGTCTGTCTGTCTGTCTGTCTGTCTGTCTGTCTGTCCCTCTCTCTCAGCTCACTCTCTAAATAGAAAAAAAAATGGGCTTAAAACAAAATGCTAAATGCTAGAACGTGCTCGTGTATTGTGGGGACTTTTAGGAAAAGCAAAGAACAATAACACTACACCCAACAAAGGTTTACCCAACAAGGCATGTCGTAAAAGCTACTAACGTAACGGTAGACCAGAGTTTAGAGTGGCTATCTCACCTTCTAAAATACAGAAGTTACAAAAGCTAGCCAGCTAGAAAAAAGTAAAAGAAGAGAAATATTCAGTCAAACGAGTTGGTTGGATCATCCCCTGGAGGAATATTGAAGCGGTACTGAAGACAATCGAAAACAACCAGGATTGTCTACTCACTTTCTTTCATGTAAATGGCGCCGGTAATTTTATGCGGGGCTAAAAAATTTTAACGAAAGAAAAGAGATTTAACGTCTATGTTTTATTTGTCCATTGAAAGATAAAGAGCGTATACAAAATGACGAAAACTTATGTTTCCTTCTTTAGTCCATCCTTTGTTCCTTTTGTAGTCATGTTTATCCACAACCTTCTGTCTCGTATACTTTCAATCAGTTCTGACACAGATGATCTTCCATGCCGTGATGTCAAACTGTCCCACATCTTCTCTCTTGGTCTCTGCCGTTTTTCCTCTCGAACTTTCCCAACGGTACGAGGTACTGCAGTTTTCTCCTTCTTGTGACATGACCAAAGAATGTAGATTGCCTTATTCTGATGTTGTCAATCAGTTCTCTTCGTAAGTCAGTTTCTTTCAAGACATCTTTATATCTGTCCAGGGTATTCTCATCATTCGTTTATAAAACAAAATCTCCGTCACCCCAAACTGATTTTTCAGTTTTCTCCAACTGCTGATGATCCAGCGCCGTTTATCAGAACAGAATTTATGTAGCTCTTTGTAATTCTTGTTCTCTTCTCAACCGACACAGAAAAACTGCACAGAGCATTCTTCATTGTTTAAAAAAAAATAAGTTATATTCACAGACATCAGAAGGAGATAGTCATCATTTTTCGGTCATGTTATGAGAAGAGGGAAAATAGAACATGTTGTGACCACTGGAAAGATCTGTGGAAGGAGAGATAGAGGAAGACAACGAGAGAAGATGCTAGACAGTCTTGTTGCATGGCATGGAGGTGTGTGGGCACACGAACTGATACATGCTGCAGGAGATCGCAGATTATGGAGAGGCATGATCGCCCACGCCAGTCGGCAAGGCACCTGATGATGATATTTATGCTTCTTTTTCCAAGACATGAACATTCTTTTGATGTGCCATTTGATGTGACATTTGATGTGCCATTTAATATGGCATTTGATGTGACATTTGATGCGCCATTTGATGTGCCATTTGATGTGACATTTGTGATGTGCCATTTGATGTGCTATTTGATGTGCCATCTGAATTAACATTTGATGTGCTTTTTGATGTGCCATCTGAATTAACATTTGATGTGCTATTTGATGTTAATTTGATGTGCCATTTGATGTGGCATCTAATGTGACACGCAGACACATTTTCTCGTTCACAGGCAGATCTGTTTGTTCGCGCTAAGGGAGAGCTGGAGCTCTACCAAATGCTAATTGGCCTAATGGCGAAGGAAAATGAAGTCAGGGAAGAAGTGAGGAGAAGTGAAACTGAGGTAGGGTAGCCCCGACACACATACCCACTGACTTCTCCTGGGCCTTTTGTGGAGGAGTGGTTAGGGTTGGGGGTGGGGAAAGGGGGGGGGGGGAAGAGAATAAACCCAATGCCTATAACAAGCATGTGGTAAAGTAAAAATCGACTGATTAGGGGTGTTTCATTCGGAGTTAGAATGCATCTGCCTGAGAAGCGAAGAACCAATAATCTGCAATAAAAATGAGCCAGATCTGTAAAACGGATGTGCACGCAAAATTCAGGTATTGGAAAAAGACTAAACTAAGTCCAGAAGTGGATGAACACCCAGAACTTTCCGCCAGTTTGCAAATGGTGAACGCGAGGAAGAAGGAGGAGGATGAGAAGAAGAAGAAGAAGAAGAAGAAGAAGAAGAAGCAGAAGAAGAAGAAGAAAGAAGAAGAAGAAGAAGAAGAAGAAGAAAAGAAGAAGAGAGAAGAAGAAGAAGAAGAAGAAGAAGAAGAAGAAGAAGAAGAAGAAGAAGAGAAGAAGAAGAAGAAGAAGAAGAAGAAGAAGAAGAAGAAAGAAGAAGAAGAAGAAGAAGAAAAGAAGAAGAGAGAAGAAGAAGAAGAAGAAGAAAGAAGAAGAAGAAAAGAAGAAGAGAGAAGAATAAGAAGAAAAAGAAGAAGAAGAAGAAGAAGAAGAAGAAGAAGAAGAAGAAGGAGAAAAAGAAGAAGAAGGAGGCGAAGAAGAAATACGAAAATGACTCAGCCTTAAATGGGAACCAGAAACAGTCCTGGGAAGTAAAAGTGACCATCGTGATATAGACCACATCACCTAACGACTGCTAATTAGTCTATAAAATATAGGCCTAGCCATATATGGACAATACGAAGGCATGCAGAATCACTTATTTGACATTTCACTCACACACGTTCGTTTTTTGTTTGGTCAGGGCAGGAAAAAAGGGCGGTGTGGGGTGTGGGGAGGGAAGGATATTTATGTTGCTGCCGGAAAGAATAAGAATGATTAAGGATAAACAGAGGCAGGTGCTTTGTTTGGAAAAACAATCGTCACATGTAGCCAACATCCGTGAAGAGGATGTTATAACTGTGCTAGGGGATGTTATAATTGTGCTAGGGGATGTTATAATTGTGCTAGGGGATGTTATAATTGTGCTAGGGGATGTTATAATTGTGCTAGGGGATGTTATAATTGTGCTAGGGGATGTTATAATTTTGCTAGGGGATGTTATAATTGTGCTAGGGGATGTTATAATTGTGCTAGATTTTGTACGCCATATAAAATGACTTAGCATTGCACGCACCAAGAACCCTGAAAAGGAGTCCTGCAGTGTTGATGTGATCCACTAAGGCAGACCCAAATGCTATCTAGAATGGCGACGAAGTCGTCTACCGGTAAGCTAATTAGGCGACCAGTTCACTGATGTGAAAGGATTAACGGAGCAATCCTGATGTTTTAGAAGATGTTAAAACTCAAAGACACACAATAAACACCAGCAAGAGACAGTCATCATTTGTAGGCCACATTATGAAAAAAAAAACAGCTGGAACTTGTTGTGACGACTGAAACGAGTCACGTATTTAAAAAAAAAGGAAGACAACGAAAGAAGAAAAACCTCAGCGGATATTGCCGTGGCACGTATAGATGGCAGCATACGACATGCTACACACTTTTCGGAATAGCAAAATATGGAGAAGCGTAATCGTCCACGCCACTCGGCAAAGCGCTTGATGACACAAATTGTGATAAAGAGTTTAGGGAAAATACCAAGCATGAAAGACGTATGTATAAAGTTGAAACAGCCAAACAATAAAAAATAATGCCCGTCTTAAACATGAGGGCTTAAATAAAAACTTGTGGATTTTGATATAAATTGCACTTGCTTTTCTTTGGTGCATGTAAAAAGTGGAGCCTCCATCTTTAAACTGTCATTGTGTTGTCGCCATGTTTGTCTGTACCATGATGTCACGTGCTATACATTCTTGACATGTGTAACAAATACTGACAGGTTACAAGAAAATGGCGTGGTTATTGTAATTTTTTTTCACACCTTTTAAGCTGTGCATTTGAAAACCTGGTTGTAGTTTATGTCATGTGGCACTCACTCTGGTCATCATATAGATCTACTGCCATCTGACTCGTGTACTGCCAAGTATTTGAGATGCACATTTACTTCCATGTCCAATGAGGCCAACCTTTGCAACATCTTTTCTCTTTAGTCTCGTTATAACTCTCCTGCCGTCAAAGAATGTGGACTGATTTCTTCTAGTGCAAGTACTGAGTTCTTTTTTGTGAGTTCACAGCCCATCTTCATTATGTAGTTTGCCACTTTAACAGAGTTCTCAGCGTTCCTTTATGAAAGATCATCTCTGCAGCTTCAATGATATATATATATATATATAAAATCATGCAGCAGATCCTTCGCAGAACCCCGCTCTCATCACAGCAGGAAAGCTACTCGGTCTGTTGCCAACTTTCTATCCTCCCGAGCTTACATGTCCAGAATGTTCTTGATGTCCGGTGCCCACCGTCATTCTGGTCCACCCCTGCCTCTTCTTAAAAGAACTTAACATTACAGGTTTACAATATAGCTGCATTAATTCATTTAATCAGATACGATTCTGTTTATGAGCCAGTCCGGCTGGATATTAAACTGTCAAGAATGTCGGTATTTTTCATCTTCTTGGCCCACGATACTCTAAGAATCTTCATGTAACATATCAATCTTATACATATACGCGGACAACAATGAGTACATGAATTACCGATAGATAACGTATACACATAGTGTGTGTTTTGTTGTTACAATTAGATGAAAGAAACACTGGAAGCCCGGTGCATTGAGGAGGAAGAGTCTCAACTGTTGGTGACCTACGTGCAGGCAGACATTGACGAGGACCTGAGAACCGATAGACTCAAACTCAAGGTCAGTTCAGCGTATCTTCGTCACCTTTCCGTCTTTCTAGACGATAGTGTTATATTGTGCTACGGGGGCTGGGGAGAATAGGGTTCCCCTCTATAGCGCAAAGCCTGGGCAGTACTCTAGAGACTATGTGTTGCCCATGCATCGTGATCCCTCCTCGGTGTCTGTCTAGTTCACTAAAGAAGAACTGTAACACTCAATACCTTTGAAACAAAAGCACGCTACACAGGTTGCTCAACCATAAGAGCAGTGCTCTGCTTGTCCGCCTAAATAAACTTCCTTCTTACACCAGCTGCTTATTAGAGACTCATATCACTAGTCATACCCGTGTTCGATGCATTTTTTCTTTCTTTTTGAAACCCTACCCTGGCTCTTGCCAGGGGCCGCAATATAGCCCTGCTATAAATATGGTCTAATGGTTGAACGCGGTTTCCGTGACCTCTCCACGGGTGATCCTCATCCGCATAGTGGCACTTTGTGTCATCGGGTGTTCATCGCTTGAGTGATGTCCTCGTGGGGTACGAAGTCAGTCAGTCAGACCAGCTCCTAGCCAAGGCTAAGAGCCTGGTCTGCCGTGCGTTAACATGCAGTTTTCAAGTCGCATTTCCCCTTCCTAGGACAAGGACGCTTCTTTGCCCAACACCATTGTCACACTGTTGGCCGTTGCGTCGTTTTATTAGGCATTTTTGCGCTCGGTAGCTTATTAGTAACGCTTCGTAATGTCGGGATGCCGGGTTCGATCCCAGGTGCAGGTTTCGCCTTTCGTTGGGTTTGACAGTGGTATCAGTGGGCCGACCGTCCAGTCAGCAATGGTAAACTACAGGACGTAAATTTGTCTAGAAAAACCACACAACAGCCAGGGGCTGCTGGGGTTGGTTCTGCAACGTCCTGTAAAGGATACTAAACCAACCTTAAGCTTGCTAGTGCTTACTGATCGATGCGATGCTCTTGGCCTTGTCGAGATCAACGGTCTGCTGCCAGACGACTTAGAGCTGACTTTGACACACGATATGTCAGCATTGTGAAAGACGTTCACAATCCCTGAGCCACAGACGCTAAATAATGTACAGGTGAATAAATATTAGCACAGAGCAGTGGTGCTACTAAACGGAATTGAGGAATAGACTGTGAGCCCTGTATACACTGGTATAACATGGCAATGAATGGGGGGGGGGGGGCGAGGTGGGAGTATTGCTACAGCAACAGTTCTTACAATATGAATAGTTAGGTACTGCCAGTTTGAAAGCTGTCTTAGTTCTTAGTGAGTGTGTTTTTGAATTGGCGTTGGTTAACATTATCATAGTTTTCAGTGGTGAAAGGTTGATCAATGACATCAGGGTAGCTTAAAAAACTCATTGCCATAACTAAGTATCAGAAAAGGAACAAGACCACCATACATCCAAGTTTCCATTGAATAGTAGTTCAATTACGATATTCGAATAACACAGCCAAATGTAGGTCCCCCATTATTTAAATATTAGGTGAGATACCACAGAAAGAAAAGCTAGCATCTTCCTGAAAGATGGAAAAGCTGCTTGTCCAGACGATATTCCAGTATACGCTGTTAAAGCCAAAATAAATACTCACGCCTAACAGCTGCACCCATTTTTTGAGCAACATCTGTGAAACTAAAGAAATGCAATCAGACCATAGAGAAGAGTATCAGTGGAGACTGCCAAAGAAAATGGACTGCTGGTATACAACAACTGTACATGAATTATTTTACTGCCACTTTCACGTATATATTTAGTTTGAATGATTCTGGAGAGATTACGCGATGCCATTGACAAACAATTCGCCTGTGGGTCGGAAGGTGGTGGGTTCGGGTCCTGACACAGAAGGACTTTTTTTTTTCTTTCAAAAATGTTCTTGGCTCCCAGGTCGACCCAGCCTTGAGTCGGTACCAAATACAATCCTGGGAAGTAAATGCGGCCGGCGTAATGCTGACGACATCACCCTCAAACGCTTTTTTTTTAAAAATCTTAATATAGGTCTAGTCTATATGGCCTGTACACTTGAAGTCATGGAAAAGGGTCCTTTTCTTTTTTTTTTATTAATCAGCTACGGGATAAACATGTTGATTCTCGGCCAAACAAACAACTCAGCCAAATTATGCTTAATAACAGAGCAAACAAACAACTGACCTCGCTACATCGTACTCTGATTGCCTTTTTTCGTATATTCTTAGTGACCATTTTTGTGGGGTTCTCGACCATGTTAATTCCATTCCAGTTACACCAACACCAGCTTGTCTCAATGCGTGTGTCCCTAAATGGTTGTGTCAACATTTGCCCGTTGTTTCACAAACCTAATGTCAATGCAGGCGCAAAAGAAGGCTGAGATTATTCTACGCAAGAGCGATGTACTGAAAGACTACCTGGAACCGTTTATGATCAAGGTTGGTCTGAGCAAGATCGCCAACAAGAAACAAGCCTGTAGAGTCCGGGACGACTGCATGCAGTCCCTGAAGGACAGGTTAATCTGCCAAGCCAACATCATCAAGGAGAGTTTTGCAAAGGTAAACTAAACACTGGTGCGGTTTTTGTGCTGAAAGGCAAAGACCATGGTTTTTTTCCCCCCTCGTGGTCAGGACGTCAGTGTAATGAATCAATCACTCACAGCCATAATGACGGTTGGCTGCAGTGAATCTTCAACACGTTGGTTTCCCCCTTTAAATCCTTCATACGACTCTATTTAAAAAAAAATTCCCAGTCACTCCCGATCCTCACGTATTTGATGCTTTCATTTCACTAAAATACAACCTTACAAACGCTGTGCTGCCAGTGTGAAACATGGCGCTGCTTTCAGAAAAAGGAAGTAAAAAATGGCCAGGACAGAAATAAAATGTTTACGTGTTATGCTAGTTGTAATAAGTAAAGATCGATTTAGAAATGATGATATCAGGAGGGAAGTCGGCACAAAACAAATTCAGAAATGTATCAGTAGACAACAAATCAAATGGTTTAGTCATGTAAAGAAACCGACAAAAGACAGGGTACACAAGAGAGCAGTGTTGTACAAATACAGCGATAACAAAGCCAGAACTTGACCACGCAGAAGATGGACCGCAGAAATAACAGAGACATTAAAAAGTACTATATGTGAAGTGAACAGAAGGGTCTGTTCCAGAGATCTCTTCTTGCTCTGGCGCTGCGTGGCATTCCAGGAGTAAAGAAACTAAAAAGAAAAAACACAACATCAGCTCATGGGGCCTGGTCACTGATCGTCTTTACTTCCTAGGACATTTCTTAGTAGCCATATCCAATAAAAAACATATTCCTACAGAAGTCGGAGGGCTCCACAGAAAAAGGTGCAAACATCTCAGTCATATTGTAAACGGGAATTTACACATTCATGTGAACGACATGTTGCTGTTTTTTTTTTTTTTTTAAATCAGAGTTCAGTTTTGTTCTTTAGTTTGAAAGAAATAATCCATTTTCATTACCAGTCATGCAGCGAAATAAGCTTACAAACCAGTGAGTTTATCTGTGTATGTCTGTACGTCTGTTTGTGTTTATCAAACAGGATGTGCTTCTCTCCTATGCGAGAGTTAGTATGTTCCTCTGTAAATATATTCACGTGTACATCTGTACGTGTGTATGTGAGCCTGCAGAACGAACTCACACATATGTGTGTCGCGCGCCCACGTGGGTAAAAACACTGATATAGTGAGGGTGTGGGTTTGAACCTTAACAATGCCCACCCACGTGAGAAACTGGACTATTATCTAAGCTATGTTTGATCCTAGACAGTCCCTGGATAGCCAAGGGAAAACAGCGAGTGGCTCGTTCCATGAAATGAAAGTTTGCTGTACTTGTATCCACAGGAGTAGGAGAAGGGATAGATAGATATCTGGATACACCCACTGTGATATAAGCCAGGTGCTCATTAAACCCTCCGACTGCTCTCCTCTGCTGGCATTACTTAAAAGCCCCCATCAAGTGATTTAAATATTTGTTAGCTGAAGTAAACTAATATGCACAAAGACACTTGAACCTAAGTACACAATTTACTCAACTATGTGGTAACAACATATACACAAAAAAAAAAAAAAACATGGATTTATTTGAAATAAAGCGAAATTAAAATGAACTTGTTTAGGCTAAGTAGAGTTGAAATGATGTGAATGATGAAATCATAAAGGTATTGGAAAGTAACAACCTTGGACGTTCTCGGGCGTGAGACCCTGCTATCTTTTCCAGTTTGTCGTCCTCCCTGCTTTCTGTCAGGTCCGTTACACTCGACGGTCGCAAATAATGGATGCCTACTATCCCTGCCCAATGTGGGAACTGGAGAATGAAGAAAAAAAAAAAAAAAAAAACAAGCGCATATTTGTAAGTATCTGCTCTAGATTTACACTAAGCATGTATATTTTAATAACATCAAGCTGTTTATTTTAAAAAAAATTTTTTTCTCTCCCTCATGCTCCCCCTTCACCCTTTCC